AAGTAGCATTTAGTTGGCTAATTCGCATGGATATACACACAGCCATCAAAAACAGTGAAGTGAAACAGTCCAAAATTGTCTCATGTTAAACAGCCAGCTTGTTTTATAAATGATGTAGCAGATACCAAACAAGCATAACACTTCTACTTATTTTTATTAACATGCTTTCTTTTGTTTACAGATAGAGGACCACATTTTGCCAAGCCCTTGTGTGATACAAAGATTGGAAGTAGGGATGTTAACTATTGGTTATTTTACTAGTCGAGTAGGCGATGGAATTTTCATTGACTACTCGACTAGTCAATAGGAACTTCTGCCTGCAGCCCGGGACCTGCGGGAAGTCCTGCTGACTCTGGGCTGCACGCGGGCGTGCCAACTTTGAAGTGTACAAGATTCCCCAGTGGGGACTCTTCTGCATTTCAAGGCAGAGCGCAGCATGGAGCCTGGGCTGACTCCGGGCTCCATGCTGTGCTGCCAATTTGAAATGCCACGCGGAGACCGGGCTCAGCTGGGGACTCTCCAGCTGATCCCAAGCTACATGCCACATTTCAGCAGAACCTGGGATCAACTGGGGACTCCCCAGCTGACCACGGGTTCCATGTGGAATGTCCCCAGAACCCAGGACCAATTGGGGACTCCCCAGCTGATCCCGGGTTCCATGGAAATGCCACGCAGCGCTCAGGATCATCTGGGGATTCCCCAGCTGACCCCGGGCTCCATGTGGCGCTGCCACCTTGAACCGCTGCCTAAGTGTTTCAAAGGGGCAGTGCTACACAGCTGATCCCGGGCTCTATGCGGTGCTGCTGCTTTGAAGTACTCCTTCTTTCACCCACTTCGCTGCCTCTGATAGAAGCAGCAAGGGGGGTGAGGGAAATCCAGTTAGTTGACTGACTGTCCGATAAGCACTTGGTTATCGGATAGTTGACTAGTCCTTAGCATCCTTCATTGTGAGCACTATTCCCTGTAAGCTGGGTGCTTGTATGGCCATTCAGGAGAAATTCCAGTGCTGCCTAGCTGAGTAGCAGAGCACTCACAGCTAGGTTTTTGTTTCTCTTGGTGGTGTACATTCACACATGCCTCAGTGCACATTGCAAAATGTATTCCACACATGGATGGAGAAGATTAGAGAAGCTAATTGTTTGGGAAGGCAAAATATCTCCCTTCTCTGCCTTATGATGCTCATTCAAGGGAAGGGCCTGAGGCAGTTGAAGTCCTTGAACTCTGGGGAGTTGAGCTCTCCATGGTGATGCTTTCCCCCCCATCCCCATTGCCTTTATGAGGTGGTGGGGATGGGGAGGCTGCTGCCACCACCCAGCCCCTGTTCGTGGTGGCCCTGGCTGAACGCGGCTAGGGACTGCTCTGCTGGCTCATGCTGGTCTGGGACGCTGCACCTCTACATTTAAAGTGCAGAGCGACAGCGGTCCAGAGCTGGCACAAGCCAGAACTGCTCGGTCCTGGCTCTAGCTTGCTCCCGTTGCAGCTCTGTGGAGGGCCCCCTTATCAACTAATCATGTAGTTGATACAAATTGTATCAACTACACAATTAGCCAGATAATTGCAGTTTAACATCCTTTGTTTTCACACCAACCATACTTGAGTCCTTTCAGGGAGAATGGCGAGTAGATCCACATAATAGTTGACCCACCAGGACAGTTCTTCTTAACCCCTTCATCTCTGTTGTTATTTAAGAACAGACATCCCTAATACTAAGTGAAACTGTTCTATGAGGTGTTTTGGCAAGAGATGGAAACTGTAGCTTTTGTTTGGAGTAGTCACATTAAACAGACTGCCTTTGGAAAAGGCACTTGAATGCATTGTCAGCTATTGGCACAAATTGCAATGCTATGAGTATGCATAGTGCTTAAATAAGAGGAAGTTGTGAATACTTCTTAATGCATATATTTCATCTATTTTGTCAGTGTAGTATAGGTGAGAAAAATGTGACTTCAGAAGTATGGTGATGCACTATTACGTGTTTGGAGTGATGTGCTAATTTGTGTCAGTGTGTGTCATTATTGCATGACAGTGTGGGTGGATACTATGAGAAGGGGTGGCACAGATAATCATTAGTCATCTAGCAAGAACTCAGATGACTTTATGTGTGTAATCTGCTTCTGTCTGAGGGTATTGTGTTGTAAAAAAGATATAGAGATTTTATCCCCTGGAGTTTTAGCTATTACCTGGTAAGGATAGAAGAGGTTGTCAAAAGAACTATTTGTTTCCACCCTTTATGTACAAACCCTTTATGGATTATGATGCCTTTTGTTTTCAGAATATGCCTTTACTTTTCCATTTTTGTATTGCATCCCCTCTTCTGGAGAGAAAAATGGATTTATTTACATACGGTATGCAGAATGCATCTATGGTTGAGGGTCAGTTGTATCCCAAGTATATCTGAAGAAAGTAAACCTGTTACAGGTTGGACCTCCCTTGTCCAGCACTCTTGGGATTTGACTGAACTGGAACGTGGGGATTTGCCAGACCAAGGGAGGCTGTCCCATCATAGCCTGTGCTGAACTCCTGCCCCCTGCCTGCCTGCCTGTTAGTGGCTTCCCAGGCTGGAGCTCCCTAGCTGCCGCTGATGGACCCTGAGCTCTGTGGCCAGAGCTGGATCTCTGTTGCTGCTGCTGACCCCTGCTACCTCCCGGCCACAGGAGGAGGATGTTCCACTGCGTCGCCCGCCCCTCCGTATCTGTCGCCCCCCAGAAACATGTGGCTTCCAGCTGAGTTTCTGCCTTCCTGCCCAACGGCCTGACCATTCTATTCTTGGAATCTGTGAGAGTCCTGGTTAAAGGAGGTACAACCTATACAAATATGTCCAGGATACAAGAATAGGAGAGGAGTACAATCCTGCTAGTAACAGTTAATTATGTAGCAAAGCTCCACTGTTTTCTTAACAAAAGTGACACTATTCATTCAAGTTACATTTCTGGCAGAAATATATTTTCCCACAAATTTTTACATGTAATAATATGTAAGAATCCTAGACTTATTCAGTTTGTTTATGAAACTTTGTTATAAACAGCTTCTCTGTTGATCTTGTACAATGTTTCCTTTTCGTTGTGAGACTTCTATATCCATGGTTCCCAACCTTATTTATACTGAGGACCAGAAAACCCATTCACAAACTTTTGACAGGCTGGTAACATTTTATTTGCATATATGCAAATAATGAATATGAATATATAATGTTACCAGTCCCCCTCACTTAGCCTTACGCGGCCTCTCAGCTGATAGCTGAGTGCTGCTGACCAGATCATGGCTGCTCTTAGGCTGCCATGACAGGCTCCGCATGGCCCTCCCACTGTGCAGTGAACCTCTCTTCCATGTCTGGGAAGAGACTCTGCCCCATCCGGCGCTGGTTGGCTGAGAGGTAGGGCAGGACACACCTTTCCCAACAGACATGGCAGGAGGGGAGGCGCTAGATGGTGTGCACCAGTCCTCAGAGCCACTGCTGCCTGGCAGATAGTGGTTCGGGCCGTGGACCAGCATTGGGAATTGCTTTTATACAGCAGACAGGGAGATAAAAATGACTTTTTAAAATAGAAAAATGTGACTAAATCCACAGATGTGGCAGGCTGCCACATAGTTCACTCTGCTGGTTGAGTGTAGCACTACCAGTCTTTCCTGTCTCCTCTGTTCTTCATACACTGGTCTGTGCTGGAGATGTGACTTAGCCCTCCAGGTGACCCAAAAATATACATAACTTCTTCCAGGATAGCAAAAGTCAAGGTAAAAAATCCCCACAAAAAAGAAAGGTTCTTCAGCTTTTCAAGGATTTCTGTTCAGGCCACTCTCTGGAATACCTTTGAATACCTTTTTGATTTTAGGGTAAAGTACTTGACCTCCCATGCCTGTTCTCCTGGAGTACCATTTTCAGCTGTTGCTGGGGTTCTTTCTGTGTATCTTCCCCTGCACCAAGTTAGAGCACTGAGTTTCCGGGCTAGTTCACCTGCAGTACTAGCCTCCTACCTGCGGTTCCACTCCCAGACTGATCTCTTTCAGCCTTTTGGTGTCCATTAAACTATCACCTGCTCTTCCTTAGTTCTGTCCAGGCTGGGAAGCAGGGAATTAATTACAGCTGGGGTATATCTTCAAATGTGCTGTAGCTCAACTAGAAGATGTGGGCCTGATTCAAGGAACCAGTTGATGAAGTTCTGTGGCATGTGTTACACAGGAAATTAAGCTAGAAAATCATATTGATTGCTTCTGGCCTTAAAGTCTGTACATCTAAGAGTGTATATTAAATGTTATTTTTTGGCAGCCTAATAAATCCAAGAGGGTGAACGTCTTTGAATAAGCATATTAAAGTGTGTAAGAATCCTGTTTTTAACCTATACATTTCAGTATCCATCTATGTTTCAGTATTGGAGAGCAGGATTCTTACATATTCAGATATTCAGTTGGAAATCTGTTTTCAGCATACTTCAAAGAAAAGGCTGTTTTTACAGTAGATCTTAGGAACCCTACCTATTCACAGAGAAGCAGAGTAGGGTCATGTCTTCACTAAACAGAAGATCATTGTTGTCTCAATTGATCTTCCCGAGTTTGATTTAGCGAGTCTAGTTAAATCTTACTAAATCAAACTTAGAGAGCACCCCCATCGGCAGGTGGTACTCTTCCACAGGCAGGAGTAAGGGAAACCAATGAGAATGTTTGCTTCCATTGGCCTCCCATTATGGGGATGGCAGGGAAACTAAAAAAAAAAAAAAAAATTATGTTGATTCCAGCTACATAATTAACATAGCTGAAGTTGCGTATCTTGATTCAGCCTTCCCTTTTAGTGTAGATCTGGCCTAGGGTTATGTTCTCCTCCAGCGTGACAGAGAATCAGAATAGATGTGATAGGCCTAATCTCCAGTCCTCAGCCTGACTTTTATTTAGCTTGAGTTCTGTCAAGACTATATACTTGCACAAGACAAACATCTGTATTGATACTCATCTAACGTTTTAAGTGAAGGTGAAATTGTTTTGAAGTAATGTTTTGAATTTTTTTCCAGACACAGCCCCCTTCTACAGTTACAACAAAGGCACCAGATATGAAGCCCACCGAAACAAAGGTATGAAGTCCTAAGGAATGAATCTTTGCGATTTGTGACCTTGATTTTACTTCAGATTCCATCGCTAACTCATTAAAAGTACATCTACACAGCACCCTTACCTCGAAATAAGCTACCTTATATCGAGGTAATATAAGTACCTTATATCGAGGTAATTTTGAAATAGCTTATTTAGAAAATTGGCACTGTCTACACAGTACCAAATTTCAAAATAAAGCGCTATTCTAAAACATCCCTTAACCCTCGTGGAACAAGGGTTAAAGGGATGCCGGAATAACACACCCATTTTGAAATAACGGGCACATTTAAAGACACAGAATAGCTATTTCGGGAGACTTCTGGTATCCTGAAATATTGCCACTGTCTAGATGTAACCTAAGTGACCTTGATAGAGCCACTTTTCGGTATCGTAATTTCCACATCTCCAAAATAGTGTATTTTGTATGAAAAGCACTTCGGCAACTGTGGATTAAATTAATTACTAATATAGCATTTCAGCTTATTCAGAGACTCTGAATTATAAACTTAGTTCCTGATCCTGCAAATCCTTTATTACAGGTATAATTTTATTTATGTGAATAGTCCCATGTGAATTGTCCAAATCCAGGATTTGGGCCTTACTTAGTGAATGTGAAACACATGTTCTCATTATTTATACTGTCATTCCTTTCTACTACCTTCCTTCCTTTTTTCTTCTAACCTTGTACTGTGTCTTCAGTAAGATTGCAAGCTCCTCAGCACAAGGAGCTGTTTCGTTTATGTATTTATAGAAAGGGACCTTAATCCTGATTTGGACTTTTTGGTCACTATCATAAAATTAAAAGTATGATAATGATGATTTTCCTTCTCTCTGCCTGTGTTATAGTCTTGCTAAGGATCAAAATATTGAAACTTATAAAAATTCTGCACTCTAGAATAGGGTTCTTGCTCATTTAAATACCTTGTCAGCTTTCCAAACCAGATCAGGTAGGGAACAATAAAGTGGTGTAAGACAGGGATTTTTCTAATGTTATATGTATGTGAACCTAATGCCAGACTGGTAGGCCTAAGTCTGATCATGTCCCTTTGAGGTGGAGTCCACTGTCAGCCTGTTTATATTTGTTAGGATTAGGGGAGAATCCACTTATCATTCTGTAGTCTGATTGAGCAAGTGATGTTTCATTTGCCAAACTTCTACAAATAAACAGTAAAAGTTAAAATTTCAAAGCTGTAGCATCTCTAAAATCCCCAACTACTTGAGATTATCAAAATACTTCTGGGTAAAAAGCATCTTTCTTTTTCCTTTGTGCCACTTGTGCCAATTCAAATAGAGCAATGCTGTAATTCTTCAAGAAAATTTATTCTGTTCTTCTAGCAGTCATTGCTATAATGGATGTCAAAATGCCTAATTTAGAAATCTTAATCTCCACACACAGTCCACAAGAGCCAGCTACTATACCTGACAATAAAACAGACAATTATTAAAATATCATCTAATCCTGCAAAATCATCACTACTCATAAATGTAGAGATTTGTTTTTGTCAATCACTAATTTAAGATGTTTGCTTATGATCAGGGCTCGCCAAGTAGCGGCAAGCCCTACTCGCCAGCCGTGTGGTTCGGCATGCTGCGCATGCGCTAACCATGCTGCGCATGCGCTAACCATGCTGCACGGCTGTGCTGTCTTGTAATCTACTTGCCACAGGTGAGTAGATTACACTAATTGTCAAGCCCTGCTTATGATGACAGATTAATTATGAACCCACATGAAAGAGCGAACTTACTCCTAACGTCCTCTTTAGATGTGGCATTATCTACATGATGGCAACCAGCTGGCCATCTTTTAACAGATCCAAAATAAGCATATTTGCAGGAAAAAAACCTTACCTATGGTCAAGGGCCATGAAGTCCTGCCCTGCAACACTTGGGGACTCTTGAGCATGGAGTCCTGCAGAAAATTACTGGCCTGCCATTACAAAGGTAGAAGTGATGCTGCTTTTCCTTGCCCTTTAATAGCTCATATATAGTTCATATTTCCTCCTTGAAGGGGAATTGGGGCATCCAGAGGAATCTCCTTGGAAGGAAACAGAGTTTCTCGGGAATAGAGCTCCTTGAATGTCAACTGTTATTTCCTGTTCGTAAGGGCCTCCTTCTAGTCAGGACCCCATTCCCAGTGATCTGCTTCTCAATTGGTGTCTGTGCCCTTGCCTCTGCTCTTCAGAGGCCTATTTCCCATTTCTGTTCTCTTCTATCTTTTCCCTTGCCCCTGAACTGCTCCTTTTTTGCCTTCAAGGCTGAATGTCTGATCTCCTTCCCTGAAAGTATGATCAGCTTTGCCCTGTGCAGGTGGGAGCCACTGCAGCTATAGCAGGGCTAAGGGTTGATGCTTCATGGGGTTACCATGTATGAACCTCAAGGCCTTGTGTGCAGGTGGCTGGTTGGTTGATTGAAATGGGGAGGGGAGAAAGAGAGCAGTGAGGGTGCTGTGGAGGGAAGAGGTGAGCGGGTTGGGTGATGGAAGTGCTGCGGGGGGATGAGCAGAGCTTAGGAAGGAGGGCAGTTTTATTTTAGTGGTCCTACTTTGAATGCATATTTGGGGACCCATCATGAATCATACCTCTGATGAGCAGAAACCTAGCTGCCAATAAAATAAGTCTGAAGAGGGAGTGCCATGAAGGTGTATAAACTTAAATAAACACAACCAAAGAGGAGTTGTCCTTCAGATCCTGGAAAGCTTCTTTACATCTTCAAGTGTACCTATTTTGAAATGTAACTTCTTTGTTGAATGACAAATAAAGCTAGCCTCCAATTACAGTTCCTCTCCCCCTTCCTACAAGACTGGGTACCTCTCATTGTTCTTTCACTTTGCCTGTCCATCTCCTTGATGAACTCTGAAAGCAAGATCCTGATTGTTTGTTTGTTTGTTTGTTTACCCTCTTGTAAGGTCTAAACAGACAGGAAGAGGTTCAGTTTCATTTACAAACAAAAACACACCTGGTTACAGATTTTATTTCCTACTATTACCGATCTGATGCCGCTTGTCCTGTGAACAAGTCTGTTTAATGTATTTTTGTAAAATTAACATTAGTCTCCTCCCCCAAAAATGTAAAACAAAAACCATCCAGTAAATGTACCACTAAATTCAGAGAAAGCACTACTTGCACTGTAAGAAAATAGTCACATGTGGTTACTAATAAAAGTATTGGTAAAGTGAGCAGCACGTAAATTTGAATTTAACTCTCAGTAACAAATAACTCTTGCAGTCTGTCCAGCTATTTTCATTTACAATTATAAATGGTAGCAAAATACTTGTATCACATCTTTCCTGCAAGTCTCTGTGTTTCTTGGGAAATGTATTTAAGCAAATCCCTGAATTTGTACTTTAATACCAGGCTACTTCAAGCCATAGCCAGACCAGCGGACAGCAGTCTCGCAGCAGGAAGAGAAACAAGGTTCAGGTGATGCACAATTGACTGTCTCTCTGTCTGCAGTCACAGCAGCAGCAGCAGCATGTTTTCACCATGTAGCACTTACCCCCTGAAGCATGAACTAATAATCTTCTGTTTCAGTTTTTCATTTATCATGCTTATTCATACCGTAGTCTTCCTTATGGGCCCAACACACCTTAGAGAGCAATTGTCACAAACAAACACTTTGTCTGTTGCATTTCCTTTTTGTGCCAAACTTCAGCTAAAGGCAGCTCATGGCAAACATCTGTTGTTTTAATTCATAATGTAGTAACCTTAGAACAAAATTTCTAGCTTCATCTCTGCACAGATATATAATGTTCTTGGACCAGAAGAGCTGGCAGACTAGGATGTTTGTTTTAATAGATGATTTACTTAACTGATGGTGTTAAGTGTGTGTATCAGAATATGTACATGTCTTTGTGTGCGCATATATATACACCTACTACATAGACCCCAGCAGTAGGGGTCTTGAACCCACTGGCTATAACAAACAAATGGCTTGGATCCCCAGAGGATTCCTTGTAGAGGATGAACTATAGTGTGCAAATGCATGCATACAAACTGTGACTGCATCTGAGAAACAAAGCTTCTTGATCAATTTTAAAGTATGTGGAAAGTCTAGAAAGTATCAGTACGTTTAAAATGTGTGGTCTATGAGGTGAAGTAATTTATTTTCGGTGTGGAGTACAAGGAATTTCACTCATTACCTCAAAAGTATTCCCTGCTTTCTGTAATTTGCATTATTATTTACTGAATACATTATGATGTGGTACTATATACCTTAATCTTCAGCTTCAGAATCTTTGCACATGCACATACAACCTCAGAATTTCACATGTATATCTATTGTGAATCAGTACATAGGTTCATATAGATATATATTTATTAATTGTTGCACATTATTAATAAACTGTTTAGTAAACTTCACAGAGGGATCAACTAATGCATGTAAAACAAATTCCACTAAATGGTTTATAATGACTCTGAAGTAAAGGAAGAAAGCTTACAAAATTACAGTAGACAAATTGCACATTGAGATAAGTCAAGTGGTTATATCCATTGCTTTATTTTAAATGTGGTTCTATTGTAGAAGACTCTGAAGATGTTTCCTTATTAGTTTCTCTGACTCTAAAAGTGCCTGCCTTTACAAGTAAAAATACCTGTTTTCTAAGTGATAGTCTGAAGTTTAGCTTCAGATGTAAAAATCAACTTTCCATACGGTCACTGGAGCCATGCTTTCACTCAGTATTTATGCAGCTAAAACTTAGAAAGAAAGCTGTTAATTATACATGATTCTCTGAAATCTCCAGCTAACTCTCCAATAGCTGTGTTAACTTTGCAGAAGTACAGTAAAACCCCTAAAAATAATAATAAAATCAGGCCATATCAACTACATGGCAAACCATTGCAGAGTAATGCTGCTCAGAGAGGGTATGTCTACACTACCACCCTAGTTCGAACTAGGGTGGTTAATGTAGGCAACCCGAGTTGCAAATGAAGCCCGGGATTTGAATTTCCCGGGCTTCATTTACATATTGCCGGGCGCTGCCATTTTTAAATATCCGCTAGTTCGGACTCCGTGCCCGCAGCTACATGCGGCACGAACTAGGTAGTTCGGATTAGGCTTCCTATTCCGAACTACCGTTACTCTTCGTGGAACGAGGTGTACCAGTAGTTCGGAATAGGAAGCCTAGTCCGAACTACAGGCAGTCCTCGACTTACGCGGATCCGACTTATGTCGGATCCGCAGTTACGAACGGGGCTGCCCCAGAGTACATGTACTGCGGGACCTCGCGG